ATTTGGTGTTCATGATTCAGGATCTCAGGAAGCCAGGCTTGATTTTGTCTGCCTTTTGCAAGACAATCTTTCAAAGAATTGGATCAGGTTTCCCTCTTATCTCGACTACCTAGTAATTTCTCAGTCTTGATGTAGAATGCTGAGGAGGAGGTGGGCATAATGTTCTAGAGGGGTAGGCATCATTGGGAGCTTGTTTGGAAGGTTCTAGTTTCTTAGTAATGAAGTCATGCAGGGGAGGCTTTGGAAAATTCATGGACTGGGAATGGAACACAAGTAGTGACTGGAAAGTTGGGCAGTCCTGTAAAAAGCTCAACTCCTCTTTAGAGATCATGACAGTATGGGGCAGCTTTTCTATTTTTACTTTTTGGTACTGGTGATTGAACCCAGGGATGCTTTACTACTGAGCTACATCCCTAGTCCTTTTTCAATTTTTTATTTTAAGACAGGATCTTGTGAGGTTGCTGAGGGTCTTGCTAAGTTGCTGAGGCTGGCCTAGAACTTATGCTCCTCTGGCCTCAAACTTCAAGTTGCTGGGATTACAGGCATGTGCCACTATGTCTGGCTAAAGGTGTTGGTTTTTGAATGTGGTTGGTCTGGGTTTGGGTCTCTCGCTACACTTTCTGTGCTGTGTGACTTTAGGTCAGGATGGTGATCTCTCATTCTCAGCTACCTCCTCTGTAAAAGGGATTGGCGATACCCACCTAACATTGAAGATGAATAATATATATAAAATATGTGGCCCTAATATGACAAATGAGAGGGATAATTTCTGTCTAAATGGAGAGGTGGTGGTATTACTGATAAGAAAGAGAAGGATTACTGTGGCTGAAGGAGAAAAACAATATTAAACACAGAAACAACTAGAAACTGGACCATAAAGGACCTACGATATTTTTATCAGTCTGACAACAATATTCTAGACAGGAGCTAATCCTTGAAAAGTGCCTGGCCTTCATAAAACAAAAGGTACTAGTCTCCCGCCTTCCAACAATCAGGGAGGGAAAATGTGATTGAGCTGAACACAAAAGACAGCATTGCATAACCGTGACAATGGCAAGCATTTATTAAGCACCAACTGAAGGTCAGGTCCTGTTTCTTGCAAATGTTCTAATCATGTGCTATCTCATTTGACGTTTTCAACATCCCTAAGACATAGTGCTATGAGTAATTTCAACTTGGAAACTGAGGCACAAGCTTTAGTGAATTGCCCCAGGCTATGCTGTTGTAAATGACAAAGCAAGAATTAAATTTAGGCAGTTGGCAACAAAGTCCTCTTTTTCTCTCTTCAAGCCTTAAGGCATACATTATAGTTTAATCAGGAGCATATTTTTTCCTTAGTGAAAACAGAGTTTTGAAATGAGAGTAGATTCCCTGCTTCACCAAATTCCTTCTGGGTTTTTTTGTTTTTCAAGTTTTGATGAATAAAAATCCATGGACAATCACAGAAGCAAAGAATAAACACATTAGGATTTATTTGAGCAAGAAGTCAGAGAACTCTTGCTATACGGGGTGAAGCCTGGCAGCAGAAAAACCCATTTTGGTATGCTAGCTTAGGAGCTTATATATGGTTCTGGGTAGAGCATGGAGCAAAATCTATGTAAAGGTGGCATTGAAAACAGCACCAAGATCATTGATCAAAGTCATAAAAGCCAGGCGTGGTGGCACACACCTGGAGGTTGAGGGAGGGGGATCTGTGAGGATCAGCAATTTAGTGAGGCTCTAAGCAACCTAGTGAGACCCTGTCTAAAACAAAACAAAACAAAATAAAATAAAGGGTTAGGGATGTGGTTCAGTGGTTAAGCGCCCATGGTTCCATCCCTGGTTACCACCCTCTCAAAAAAATCTGTGTAAAACAGGCACTGAAAACAGCACCAAGAATATCACCTTTGAGGTTTTTTTTTTCTCCCCCTGTGTTTCTGGGGATTGAACACAGGGCCTTGTGCTTGCAAAACAAGCACTTTACCAACTGAGCTACATCCCCAGTCCTACCTTTGGGTTTTAGTTCTTCCTATCAACTTCAGCTGGGTTCACCTCCATCTCCCATTTTCCCACCTCTGGGGCCAAGGAATTGGCTGGGGGTGTTCCCACAGGAGAATCTCAAGGTCTTTCACATTTGAAATCGGTCTTGATGATGCTGTTTAATATTTCTCTGTGTGGTTTCTGTATTTCAATGAGCCCTTAGTTGGGATCCATCAGTTCTGATTGCTGACCATTGATATTCTTGGCATACCCATAAAGAACTTATGGAGATACTTAGGGCCCATGGGAAATTTCCTCTCCTAATCTCCTTCTGTCCTATTCCTATCTCATCTCCTTCTTTTCCAGGCCCAAGTGTCATGGTGGTATTTATGGAACACTCTTCAAGGGAACATGAATCTTTTGGGACAAATGTCTCCTCTTCACAGGGAATTTTCTCCCTATTACTAGCTTTGGAGTATCAGGCTTAATTTTATTAAGGTAAATAAATGGCAGTTTCTTTTAGGCCTTGACAGAAGAAGTGTGGATACAAATGCCAAGTTCTGTAAAGCGTTATCTTAAAGGTACAGTTTTTTTTCCCCTTTTAAACAACCAACACCAAGTACAATTTTATAGCTGGTGACTGTGTATTGTATTTTAAGCTCACAAAATATTCTAGACCAAAGCTCTCCGGAGCCCTCTGCAAGAAGGAAGAAAAGGGAGGGGAGAAGTGACTCCCTCTTGCTTCCCACTGATGTGTGCTCTGGAGCAGGCAGATTTTAAGTCTGGATATTGCCCTTGATTACTCCAGAGGCTACTCTTTTGTCATATGAATTTCACCAAAGAAACCACATATGTATAAGTTAGAATGACTTAGCAGAAGCACAAACAAGACTGAAAATCTGAAGAGAGTTTACTGTTCAGAATCCTATGATATGACTCCACTTCTTTCTATTAAAGATTAGGGTTGATGGAGGCATATCTGACCTTTATCATAGTCATTGAACTGGGAGAGAGAAAGCAAAGGAAATATTTGTTGCTGAATGTTTTCTTCTTGTTTCTTATGTGACAGCTAATGCTTTTATGTTCATCTATAAATCATGACCTATTAGTGGCAATACTAGAGTTTTTCTAGTTTAACTGTGTAATTGACTATGAATAAACATAGCATTTTTCAGGGACATGACTGATTTTCAGTAGGGAAGCCCTCTGTTGGCACCTGATGCAACAGATTGAATTTGTTACAGACCAGCTGATGTCTGGAGATGAGGCTGAAATGGGAGAACCGGCAAAGCACTTAGATGGAGTTAACAGGAAGTAGATTGATTCTGTTTGGTTCCAGAATAGGCTCTAGAAGAATATTTGAGTATAGGAAGTACCACATACCTTTTACCCACTTTATCAGCAGTAGGGGACTAAAATCTGAGTGGGGGTGGCAGCTGGAATCATACTGCCTGTTTTTGGAAAAATCACTACAAGTTTGATGTAGATCTCAAGAGGAGGGAACAGTGGCAGGGGAGGAGGAAATGCACGTCTATGCCCCATTTGATTGTTCAGTCTGGCAGCTGCCAGAAGATTAGCATTGACAGCATGGACTTCAAGCACATTCAATCTGTTCCTTGATTCCTGTCTGAGGATCAACTGTAGATATGATGGTTGATGAATTAAAGTGAGATAATTAACAGATACCAGGCACACTGACAAATCAAGATGCTATCCAGTAAGAGGGAGGGAATAGAAATTTGGATTTATAGCATAGACTCTCAGAGCACATGGATTCATATCATCTACAGACAGATGTGTGCCTTTATGAAGTTACTTAATCTCTCTACTCTTGTCTATCTATGAAATAGAGGTAATGCACTCATCAGGTAAGGCCAGAGGCCAGTAGAGTGTCTTTGGCATGGGAGCAATGGCTGGCATAGTTGTGAACAACACTTTTCCTCCATTAGGGTCTGCTCATTTTAGTTATCATCCTATTTGACTTCTGCCTGTTGTGCATCTGACCCTTCCTTTCTTAAAGCTGTCTGCCCCTTTGGCTTCAGTGACACCTGCCCTTTTCTAATTGCTCCTCTACTTCTTTGATCACTACTTATAGTCTGTTTCCTTAGTTTTTCTCCTCTCTTAGCTCTTGGTGTTCCCAGAGCCCCATTTCCCCCCTATATCTCTTCTCAATTTGGATGATCTTTATTCTCTCGTCTTTCTTATGGTACCTTCTAGCTGATGACTTCTAATTACATTCTTAGACCAAATCTCTTGTGCATCTTTCCTGGGAATTGAACCCAAGTGTGCTTTACTACTGAATGGATTGTGTGTGTTTGCGTGTGTGTACACGCGCGCGTGCAAAGGGGGTGTCCCTGGGATTCCACGCCTGCTCATTCACCGATTTCTCAGTTCCATTTATTTATTTATTTATTTAGAGCTGAGGGTCTCCCAAAAATGCCAAGACTGGCCTGATACTTGTGATCCTCTTGCCTCAGAGTTGCTGGGATTATAGGTGAGTGCCACTGTGCTGGGCTCTTGGTGTTCTTTTCTATTCTGCAACTCTTGTAGTCCAGTCCTCTGCCCCATCTCTGCGATCTCCCAGCAATTCCTCTATGCGATGTGCGCTTGTGCTTTCCCACAGGTCTTTTCTGGGGCCTTGAGATGAAGTTTAATGAATATTTGGTTCTGTAGTAGCATTTTGTATAGAATGTATCGGTTGTTTTAAGCCATTCACATGGGTATTTCTCCCACAAGACAAGAGTTCCCTCATACCAAACATTCTGTCTTGTTCTTTGGTTCCCAGAATCTACTCAGGTAGGTGAGACAAGGTAGATGCCCAACGCTCAGGGTAACGAACAGAAATATTTATTTTTTATTCACAGTGCACTCTGCCTCAGCTGCTGACGTTTTTAAGAGACACGTTCCTTCTGGGCTTCAGTGTTCCCAGCCCTCCCGCGCTGTTCAGGTGAAGGGCAGCCCGGTGGCTGGCTGCCTGCCGGCTGGGCTGGGTGACTGCCCGCGCGCCTGCGCCCTCTGCAGCTCCACTCCGGGCGCGTCTGTGTGCGCCTGTGTCTGTTTGGAGAGGAGAGGCTTGGGTGACAGGCAAAGGGTAGGGCGAAGAGTTCTGTCTGAGTCGCCGGCTCATTCACCGATTTCTCAGCGGCTGAACAGAGGCCGCCTCGCCACGCAGCTTCCAACTACTCCTGCACCTCCATAGTCTCCACCTCCCTCTGCTCCATTCTCAGCCCGGCAGACTGACCGACAGACTCTCTAGTGAGTAGCGGCAGCTTGTGCGCCGGAGCTGTTCCGGGCAGTTCTGTCTTCCCACGGATTGTGTGTGTTTGTGTGTGTGTGTGTGTGTGTGTGTGTACGCGCGCGCGCACAGGGGGTGTTCCTGGGATTCCACGCCTGCTCGGAAAGCTCCCCGCCGGGATCCGTGTGTCCATCCGAGTCTGCGCTTCGGTGCGGGTGCTCTCCCAGGCAGGGACTCTGGACGCCGGGATTCCCCGGCTCCGTGCGCAGCGGCTGGTGGGGTTCCCCCGGAAGGCGCCTAGGAGAGCAGGCGGTGGGGAAGCCCGGGCTTGTGAGCTGCTAGCAGGCCGGGAATCTGGGAGCAGGTCCGGCCCAGCCCGGCCGATGGAGACGCCAGAGCGGCCACCCCTTGGCCGCCTAGCCTCTCTTTCTCCTTTCTTCTCACAGCAGCATCACAAAAGCGCGTAGCAGAATGAAATCCAATGCGGCGAATCCCGACTGTCTTCCACCTGGTGCACATCGCCCCCGGGAGGGAGAGACCGAGTGGGGCTCCCCAAGATTAGGAACAGGGGCTTACCCCAGAGGCACACCCGTGTTCCACTCTCACTGAATTTAAGCTGGATGTTGGATCGCGCGAGTCGTTCCAACACTTACACACCGGTGTGTGTGTGTGTGTGTGTGTGTGTGTGTGTGTGTGTGTCCGCGCACGCGCGCACGCACCCCAGGGCCCACGTTCACGGAGCGCAGTCGATAAATAGCTCAACTCCCTGCCTGCCTGCGCTTGCATAGCGGGTGGGCTCCTTGCGCGCGCTGTGACAGCGTGCCAGCATCTCTTTGTTTGGTTGTGGCTTCCCCAGCCATCTGCAAAGCAAATTGATTTTCAGTTTCGCTTGCGCGCTGGGACTTAATGTCGGCCCCAGTCTCCAGTGCCCCTGGTATTTGTAATTGAATAGTTCTTTCTGTCAGGAGGTTATTTTTAGTGTTGGGATTAGACACAAGCACGTTGACCTTTTTGCTGCTACCTTTGGCTTTCAGTAGGTGATGGAGCAGACAGATGCCTATCTACTTGCACACACGTGCCAGCGCACAATTGTGCACACACATTTCTACGCACGTAATTTCTCCCTCTTTCTTTTTATTCCTTTTTTTTTTCTTTTTAAATTGGGACTGGGAATGCATTGTGAGTTAAAAAACACACACACACACAACTTTCCTTTGTTCTTTTGGGGATTTTTCTATTTTGAGTAATGGAGTAGGAGTGCGAAAAGGTTGCAATTAGTTCACTCGAATAAAAGACACTGCCTCTGAGTCAGAGCTGCCAGGTTGATAATTATTAACATATAATAGCAATGCACAGTTTAAGGGAAAAGGGGCGGGGCGGGGGCAGGTCCGCGGCAGACAATGAGGGAGTCTCTGCCGACCGCCTGCTGTTTATTGTTCCGGGACCTGAGAATGAGGCCGGCAGCTGCCCCCTCCTGCAGAGTTTAGCTCCTGGATTTGCTGTCTTTTGCATTCGGGACCATCGGGGTCACCTAACGCTGGTCGCTGGGGCGCCGAACGCCAGTCTCAGCCGCCTTTCACTGACTGTCTCTTCTCTATTTTCCAGATTGGCACTTTCACGCCCGAGGTGTCCCAAGCCCAGGAGGTCCGGATCCGGTGCCCCTGGGGCAGCCAGACGGGATGTCTTGCGGACAGCGGTGCTAACTAAGTGCCTCCACGCTGGGAGCCAGGCGCACTGGCTCCTGGCCACCGGCCGAGCGGCGGCGGCGGCGGCGGCGGGGATGAGCCCCGGACGCTCAAGGCGCCTGCCGCGAGCTACCGCCCCGAGGTGGACGCCAAGCAGGGTTCTTCGCTGGACAGCGCGAACCCTTTCCCGCCGGGGCACGCGGCTGCGGAGCCCCGGGCCGCGCCTGCTGTCAGGATGCCCTGGGCGCCTCCCTATTGGTGAGGATGCTCTGCTGTGAGGCTCTACCATCCCTATTCCTGGTCTCAAGCGGGCGCGACTGAGCTGGCCGGGCATTAGCCCCTTGCGCCGGTGGATGAAAAGAGCTGGAGTCCTTGTGTGCAATCAGCGATCGAATCTGAATTCTAAGAGCCATGGACGAAAGTCCTGGGCCGCAGCCCCCGGGGAAAGAGCAGCTGGAGGCACCAGTCCCAATAGGAGCTGTCCAAGAGAAGGGCGAGCCAGAGACCTTCAGGTCCAAGAGTTTACCGGTCCTGAACAGCGCCTCCTGCCGGCCGAACCTCAGTCCTGAGAGTGTGGACTTCAAGCCGGCCTTCGGCTGTAAGGATTCTTTAAGCCACCAGAAGTCCAAGCAAGGCCAGAACCCGTTGGCCCCCAGTCCTTCTGCCCCGTCCACTTCGGCTGGGATGGCAGGACTCGTGGATTGTACCCACAGGAAGGACGTAAGCAAAACCGTCTCGGTGTCCTCCACTCTGGCCACACTCCAGGAGAGAAGGTGCCTGCATGTGGTCCTCACTGATTCCCGCTGCTTCCTGGTTTGTATGTGCTTTCTGACCTTCATCCAAGCGTTAATGGTCTCTGGGTACCTGAGCAGTGTCATCACCACCATTGAAAGACGCTACAGTTTAAAGAGTTCTGAGTCGGGGCTGCTGGTCAGCTGCTTTGACATCGGGAACCTGGTGGTGGTGGTGTTCGTCAGCTATTTTGGGGGCCGGGGTCGGCGGCCCCTGTGGCTGGCGGTAGGTGGACTTTTCATTGCCATCGGAGCTGCCCTCTTCGCCTTACCTCACTTCATCTCGCCTCCCTACCAGATCCAGGAGTTGAACGCCTCGGCGTCCAACGATGGCTTGTGCCAGAATGGCAACTCCACGACCGCTTCGGAGCCTGCCCCCTGTCCGAAGGACTCGGGAGGAAATAGCCACTGGGTCTATGTGGCTTTATTCATCTGTGCACAGATTCTCATTGGAATGGGCTCCACACCTATTTATACCCTGGGACCAACCTACTTAGATGACAATGTTAAGAAAGAAAATGCGTCCTTGTACCTAGGTAAGACTTCTGAAACTTACTTTCCTTCCAAAAAATCAGAAGGAAACATGTCTTTCACATTTTCAAATATTTTAAGCATTAAGATTCGCTTTATTTTAGATTTTGGGCTTGGTGTGGTGAGTTTTTGACTTGGAGGAGAATCAATTACTTGAGAAATCTTGGAACTAATCTCAGGCTTACACTTCACATTTGTATTTCATGGTAGTGTTTCTCTCTCTTGTTGCCTACCTTTGGAAAAAGTCTTGATTTGTGAAGTTTATCTTTTAGTAACTGTCCTTGGATTCAGGAAGAAAGGGAAGTAACTATAGCACGTCAAGTTTTGAATTATTGCTTTTATTTATTGCTACCTCTTATTTCTGTCTGCAACATATAACAGAGAACTAGACTACACAGAACATGCTATATTACCCACATCCCTGTATTACACCTTACACATCACTTGCATCATTATTTTAAAAAAAAATCGCTGGGCCTGGTGGTCTACACATGTAATCCCAGTGGCTCTGCAGGCTGAGGCAGGAGAATTGCCAGTTCAAAGCCAGCCTCAACAAAAGTGAGGCACTAAGCAACTCAGTGAGACTCTGTCTCTAAATAAAATACAAACTAGGGCTGGGGATGTGGCTCCATGGTCAAGTGCCCCTGAGTTAAATCCCCTGTACCCTCAAAAGAAAAAAAAAATCACCAACAAAAACCTGCAAGATATCAATTGACTAGTTTATCTTCATGCAGAAACAACAACACAAGTTGTAAAGTTTATTCAAAGCTATTTTTTTTTAATTGTGAGTTGAAGACCCTCAATGACAAGAACTTGGGAGAAGAATTTATTACCAGCTGAAGAGCAGAGACTCTGGGACTTGGTGTATTGATTTGCATAAATCTGAAACAGGGATGTTGGGTGTTTGGGTTAAAGTATAAGGTGAGACCAGGCAGTTAAGGGTAGGGTTAATTTACTTCCTAGAACTAAATCTATGTGGTTGTCAGCACCTCCCTGTAGTAGCTGCTCCTTCAAATCTGCACTTCTAAGGGCTGGATTTGAACCTGTGAAAGGATGAATTGCTGTCACAGCAGATGAGATTTTGGTTACTCTGTTTCTCTACTTGGTTTCTCTCTTTCAGTTTCCAACTGAAACAAGATAAAAGGTTCTACTTTATAAAAAAAAAATTAAACAGGTAAATAAGTAAGTAGTAGCTACATTTAGAAACTTATTAGCCTTGTGCTGATAGGATCCTTGCTGTGGGAATGAATAATAAGGTTTTCAAAGGATAGTGAAAAAGATACGTAGTGTTAGAAGGCTATGATTTGTCCTTAGTATAGTCTCCATTCCCAGAAACTGTCATTGTTGGGTATGTGAGTCCCAATAGTTCCTAATAACTGGCCCGATCATCAGGACAGAGTTTTAGAACTTATTTTTATTAAATGTAAGAGAAAGAAATTCTTTTTTGGGCAGAGAGGAATAGTTTTCTTGTTACCTTGTCTCTGTTTTCTTTCATTATAAATTTAAAAATATAAACAGAAGTTAAAATAACAGTATAATGAACATCAATATATCAACAGTATAATGAACCTAGATTTATTAATTGTTCATTTTGTCATGTTTATAAACCTTTGTATATATGTGTATGAAAATATATTCTTTAGGGAAGGGATCTAAACTCTTTGAAAGTAAGTGCTGACTTTCAAACACTAACTTTCAGTATGCACCTTATAAAAATAAGGGCATTCCAGGGGCTGAAGATATAGCTCAGTGCAAGAGCACTCCTTATGTGGGTGGGCTTTGGGTTTGATGTCTAGCACTGGTAAAAAAAAATATGAAAAAAAGGCATTCTTTTACACAATTGCAGAAGCATTAGCATCCTAAGAAAGTTAGTAATCATTCCTTAACATCATCAAATATCCAATCCAAATTCAAATTTTCTCAATTATCCCCCCAAAGTCTTTTATAATAATTATTAATTTTTAAACCAGGAACTGACCAAGGATTACACATACATTGCCTTATTTAGCTGCTCACCTTGGTAGTCTTTTATAATCCATAATAGTGCCTCAGCTTTCTTTTTTCTTCTTTTTCTATGACAAAGACTTTTTGAAAAGGGAAAGCTAGTTGATTTGTAGAATGCTCCTTCTGCATTCTAGATTCATCTGAGCATTTTCATGTGGTATCACTTACTGTGTTCCTCCACTTGCTGTATTTCCTGTATCCTGGTATTTCAGTCTAAAGGCTTGATTAAATTCAGACAAAACATTTTTTGTTAGACTGCTTCATAGGCAATGGCATTTGGCCATTCCTTAGTGATGTTAATTTTAATGAGTTTGCTGAGAGATTGATTGTTGGATGTTTCATTGTAAAGATATTTTTCTCCATTTGAAAATAAGAAATTATCTGTAGGGTGATATTTGACTCTATGCAAACCCAATTAGTGTTCATATTCTTGCTGATATTTGTCTCCAGTTACTTTGAAAACTTGAATCTCCCTTTCATTCCACTTCTGGGTACCATTGATAGAAACTTTCTGCATCAAAATCACAAGTGTTATGAAAAGGGTGAATATCCATTAATAAGAATCCTGAGAATTAACTCTTTTGGTAGTGGTCATTTGCCAAGAAGAAAAACAGTAAGAATATATTAAATATGTATCTTATGCTAGGCACTAGGCACTGCTAGTTTGTTTGTTTTGTAATGCTGGGAATCAAACCTGGGATCTTATGTATACTAGGCAAGTGCTTTACCACTGAGCTATACTCCCAGCCCTATGCTAATTTTGAGAAGACCAAAAGTGAAACAGTCCCAGCATTTGAGGAGTTTTCAGTGTAATTAGGAAACATTGCTAATTCAAAGCAGGGATATGAAGGGGAGGAAAGATTTCTTTCTGTTACTGGGGTTTGAACACTGGGGTGTTCTACCACTTAGATCCATCCCCATCTCATTTTGAGACAGGGTCCCAGACTGGCTTTGAGACCTTCCTGCCTCAGCCTCCCCAGTAATTGGGATTACAGGCATGTACCTGTAATTCTTCATTTAAAAAAAGACATTGACTAAATTGATTTTTGGAAAAAATCCTGTGAATCTTTTTTTTTTTTTTTGCATGGTACTAGAGATCCAACCCATAACCCCAGCCCCTTAGGACATATTTTTAAGGAAACCCATAATTCTCCTTAATATTAAACAGATCTCAGTAAAAGCTATAGTAGTTGGAGTATCAATAATCTTACATGTATTATTTTTTTAAATGTTCTCAAAGGCCTTATGAGATGGGGGTTGTTTTTTTCTATTTCATGGATGAAGAAACTGAGGTTCAGAGAGAGTTAAAGTGACTTGTGTCAGGGTCTGAAGTCCATGCCCTCTGACCCAGAGTCCCAAGCTTCCCCTGCACTCTGTGGCTTTTGGGCAAGAGGCCCTGAGAGCTAATGGGAACTGAAGGATGAGCCACATTCAACAGTTTGAGTACAGTGCAGAAGAATGCAGAACTGGCCTGGGGGTCTCAAGACATGATCAAAGCAAGATTGTTCACGAAACCTTTTAAAGTAGGCCTTACAGGCTACCTCTGTACGCATTAAGAACAGAGAGACTACTGTTTTCTAAGAACATGAGCAGAGTTAATCAATTATGATGTGGGATCGTAAAAATAGGTTAGAATTTCTTTCTTCCTTTTTTTTTAAAAAAAAAATAAAACTGCTCTTCTATATTAACTTTTCTACCACCCACCCATTTTCTAACCTTCCTGTCAGTTTTTCTAACTTCTCATTACAACCACAAAAGAAACAAAGAAAGAAAAATCAGCACATTAGTAATTACAGGCAGGAGCAAATATCTAAAGTAACATTAAAACCATTGAAATGGAATGTAATTGTATATCTTAATCTTTTGAAAGGTCTATGTTAACATTCTGGCAGCTTTAACTATAGAAGAGACGTGGTCATAGATGATAGATAGGAGGTTTTATACCCACTAAGTGCCCTAAGTCTTCTGCAAGGACAGAGTCTTGATATTGACCTGGAGCATAGAGAAGGCTTTGTAGGTATTAATAAGAAGTAGGATCAGCAATTAGACGATGATTCATAATCATTCCTCAGGGGGAGAGAGAAAATGTGATCCTTTGAAGGTAAGAAATTCATGAACCAACAGCGAAAGGAGAAAGAATGGCTACCCAGGTGGGAAAAGGAGAAAAAGAATGTTCTAAAATAAACAACCACAGCTCTAATTGGGTGATATTCAGGATGAGTGATGATTGGCATGGGTTAGCCATCAGTCAAGCCAGGGTAGATGTCAGCTATTCTACCTCCTTGGGTGACTCCTAACTGTCAGCTCTAATTTACACCACAGGAAAGGGTTAGAGTTGACTTAGAAAGGGCAGCAGAGAAGGAAGAAGGAAATCTGTATTTCAGTTTTACTTTACGAAGGACTGCTCCTGGGTCTTTAGACAAACCCCTTTGCTTCTCTCAGTCTCTGTTTCCACTGGGGATATATTTTTTCCCTTTACTGTCATATTTTAAGGACTAAGTGGGATTCCGTATGTGAAAACGTTCTGCAAACCTTAAGGAATGCAACTTCACTGTCAAAGCAGAATTCATACTCATCCTAGAGAGTGGGCAGAGAGGGGAGTGAGAGTGCTTTGTTCTTTAAATGAATCAATTTTTATGATTGGAATAAAGGAAAGTAACATTGTACAGGAAATCAAAACATTGTATAGGAAATCGTAACTTGGAAACGTACAGGAAAATCTTAATATGATACTCTGATTCATTATATTTTCTGAGGACCCAAGATCTTGTTATCAGAATTTTCTGCATTCAACCTTTGATGACTATCTTTCTTTACTCTATGAATATTTAAATGAAGTGTACATTTGCACCTTTTGTACTATAGAAAAAGCTCTTTTTGGACACAGAGGGGCTTGTGGTATTGTGGTTTCACTACAATTCATCTTCTTTTGTCCACATAGACTGTGGTGGGACTTTTGGTGAATAAAGATTACTCCAGGATATGCTCAGAAGTAACTGCA